GCCCCGCCACTCTGGATGCACCTACTCCCTGGCAATACAAGGCAAGCTGTCTGGCCGCCCACTCGTGGGTGCTTCTCCTCTGGAATGAGGCCCTGTCCTCAGTCCCAGACCCCTCCTCTAGGGGGGCCCTCAGAGAAGCCTGGCATCTCCCTGGTCCACCACACTTGCCCAGGCCGGCCCTCCTCCGAGCGCCCAGGGGGAAAAGGAAGGAGAGCCATGCCTTTAACCTCCGGCCTGCCACGCTGCCCTCCATTCTCAAGCTCTTGGGCGCTGAGTCTCCACCAGACAGCACACGCCTTACATGCAGCCATCGGGCTTGACAGCTACTGCCAAGGGTGGGTACTGGCGAAGCCCGGCCTACAGGCTGCTCTCGGTGAGGCAGCTGGCGCCTGTGAAGAGGCCCAGTGAAAACAAGAGGGAGGGGGAGGGGCGCACGGATGGAGGGGAAGAGATTTGGCCACTCAGCTTGCCTGCACGGCTGCTAATTTGTATTGAGACCTGCACTTACAGCTGACGTGGGGTTGGGGCCCGCAGGCAGCCGATAGCACTAGGACAGGTGACGAGGGGGCCTGGGGTGGCCACTACAGAGCAGGAGGAGGTGCTGGCTCAAAGAGCGTAACTCAGAGCATCTCCCTCTCAGGATGGCAGAAAGCCATGGCAGGGGAGGCCGCAGCAAAGGTGACATGGACCCTGCAGCCTTGTCCTCTCTTTTCCCCTTGGGACATAAGCTCTTGACTCTTCCCGTTCTATTTTTGTGGGTTCAGTGAACACTGCTTTAAAAATACCGCCAGCAGTTTCCCAAAGTGCCTTGCAGGTGTTAAGCAATTTAAAACAAGGTGAGAAATCTTGGGTGTTTGGGTAAAAGAAGATTTCAAAGACTTCTCCTGAAGACGACCCCTTTAGACTATGGCAGATGTCTTCTATGTTTACAAGTGACATAACGGATAAAGGGTTAGTATCCAAAATCTGTAAAGAACTTATCAAACTCAACACCCAAAAAACAAACAATCCAGTGAAGAAATGGGCAAAAGACATGACTAGACAACTTTCCAAAGAAGACATCCACGTGGCTAACAGACACATGAAAAGATGCTCCACATCACCCATCATCAGGGAAACACAAATCAAAACCACAACGAGATACTACCTCACACCTGTCAGAGTGGCTAAAATGAACAACTTAGGCACCAACAGATGCTGGTGAGGATGCGGAGAACGAGGAACCCTCTGGCACTGCTGGTGGGAATGCAAGCTGGTGCAACCACTCTGGAAACTGCATGGAGGTTCCTCAAAAAATTGAAAATAGAGCTACCCTATGACCCAACAACTGCACTGCTAGCTATTCATCCAAGGGATACAGGTGCGCTATTTCAAAGGGGCACATGCACCCCCATGTTTATA